AGTTCGGGAAACTCAGCGACGACATCGTCACCGAACGTCTCCCATATCGCACAGCTGCCCCCACCTGAGAACACCCCGAGCATACCTCCACCAGATCCAGCGCCAGTTCCGCAAGCACTCCAGGGGATCACAATACCCGCGGATCCAGCAATCACCTGCAATAACGAAAGCAGCCCCACCGAACCCCCCGAGAACTATCTACCGAAATTATCGAAAAGCTTCAAGCTACCGAAATTTAACGGGGACCCGAAACAATACCGGAAATTTATGGATATGTTCGACGCCTTCGTCCACGACCGAAACATACCAGTTCTTCAGAAGATCATCTTGCTCCACGACGCTCTGACGGGCCGGGCTTACCACAGTGTGAAACTATATCCGGAATTGTGGAGTACACCATGTAACCCTGAGAAGCAGACATCATGCAAACAGAAGTTTACGGCTCAGAGCCATCGAGCTTGATTGTATTTCAAGATCGGAGTTCCCAATCATGGAACAAGACTTCAACCTCACGCCAGTAGCCGACTCAATCGCACGTACCAACGATCAATTGGTGGACATCCTCTTGGGGCAGGATCAATTGACAAAAATCAATTTCACAGATCCTAAAGCTATCGGAGATGTCTTCGCCTTCAATTCAATGTTCGGATGGGTTTTGGGCGGCTCCCAGGGAGCTACCACGATCGAGAGTCCTCTCTCCCGCTTTTGTGGTTTCGACATGATCCAACCGGCGCGATCATCCACATCAGATGACCATCTCATCGTCCCAGGGACAAACCCCGAAGAAAAAGGCCGTCATAAACGGTCAAGCAGCTCAAACCCTGCGAGACCTCCAGTTCTTATGGCAATCGGAAGACGCAGGGTACGACAAAGATTTCAAGGAGGAGGAACGAGAAGAAGAAGATTCCCTCATGCGAGAACTCATCGAACACTTCAAGGAATCCACCCGCCGAGATGAAAACGGTCGATACATTCTGAAACTACCCTTCAAGTCGAATCTAAACGCTCTGGGCGACAACGAAAACTTGGCAAAATCCCGCCTACACTCATTCCTCGAGAAACTAAAACGAGACCCAATCAGATTGGAAGCGGTAGACAACGAAATCAAGGGATACCTGGCAGCAGGCTTCGCCGAGAAAGCTCAACCGAGGGAAAAAGGTAGCCTCGCACACTATCTCCCTATACAAGCTGTCTTCAAAGCGAAACCAGACGCTCCCCTGGGTCTCATAACCCGAGTGGTAAAAGACGCTAGCGCCAGGCGCTCAAATCAAGCAGGACTCAATGACGTCCTCCACTGCGGCCTGAACCTTCTACCGGAAATAATAAAAGTCATCCTGAAATTCCGCCGATACCGATTCGTCTTCACCGCCGATATCGAGAAGGCTTTCTTGCAATTCAGAATTGCGGACAGCGACAGGACATTCCTGAGGTTCCTCTGGCCGCTTAACATCAGCAAGGACAGATCCGCAAGGGTTCAAGAATTCTTGGCGACAAGATTAGACTTTGGTCTCATCTGTTCGCCTTTCCTCCATTGCCAAGGAATCAGATTCCACTTGGAGGCAGCACTCCCGGAACACCCGGAGGACCGACAATTCATCGAAGAAATTCGAGATAACTTCTACGTGGAAGACGTCGTAGGAGGAGCAGACTCCTTAGAGGACTTGAAACACCGAGTGAAGGTCCTCACAAAAATCTTCACCGACGGACACTTCCCACTGAATAAATGGTCAACAAATTCCGCGGAAATCGACAAATTCATCAAGCAAACATCGCCGGTCAAAGATCCATCCATCACCATCGGCCAGGCCGACCATAAAGTACTTGGCGTCCCATGGAATCAAATCCAGGACGAACTCAGCGCTCCAACGTCGAAAGCAATCAGGGAACTCACCACAGGAGTCCCATCGAAGAGGAAGCTTCTCAGAGCGACGGCTCAAATTTTCGATCCATCGGGTATCATCAGCCCGATCGTCGTCAACTCGAAATCGCTATTCCAGGAATTATGGAAGAAGAAAATCGGGTGGGACGACGCCCTGAAAGGGAACCTGCTCGAACAATACGAGAATTTCTCAAAGTTACTCAGCCAGGCTGAAGGTATTGCCATCCCTCGACACATGCTGCCTTCGCAGGGCAGCCCGGACAGGAGAGAACTTTTCATGTTCTCCGACGCCAGTTTGCGGGCGTATGGCATCGTCGCATACATACATCCGAGAACAGCAAGGGGCAGCCCCGCCCTCAGTGGCATTCATTCTCTCGAAGTCAAAAATCGCTCCCGTGAAAGCATTCACGATTCACAGACTAGAGTTGCTCGGAGCACTTCTCGCAGCAAGAATGACGGAGAAAATCCTCGAATGGCTCGATTTCAAAATCGACGCCGTCAACATCTTCTGTGACAATTCGGCAGTTCTTGGCTGGGTCGCCTCGAACCCGGAAAGATGGAAACCGTTTGTCGCAAACAGAATTCGAAAAATTCATCAATTAGCTGGCCAGGCCAGGTGGCATTACGTTCGCTCAGAGGAAAATCCAGCCGATATCCTATCCAGAGGAGCGGATATTTCGAAGCGATCGATTGCCGAGCTGTGGTTCAACGGGCCCCAGTGGCTTCGCGAGAAGAACAACGACTTACGAGCAGCACTGGAATCCGATAGCACGTTTCACATTCACGTCGACCGAACTCATCTCGAACACGAAATGAAAAAGAGCATAGCGACGTTCCATGTCGCACTTCCGACCAGCCAAGTCGGTTCGAAAAGAATATCTTTCGAAGAGAGCTTCTCTTGCTGGCTAAAAGCGATTCGCTTTTGGGCATTGATGCTCCGTCTCAAAGCAAAGGCTCGAGCAGCGAAAACGAGAGTCCAGACGAAAAACGAATGCTCGGCCAGGCCGGAAACCGACTTGAACCTCGTCGATTCAGAAGAAATGATAACAGCCAGGCTGGATTTGATCAAACTAATTCAGAGGAGCTACTTCCCAGAGGAAATCATTTCCGCTTGCAGGAATCTCAAGCCTAAGAGCGCCCTCTATCAGTACAACCCATTCATCGATGATAATAGTCTGATCCGTTGCAAATCCCGGCTTGAACACTCATCTCAGCTGTCAGAGAGTCAGAAATCGCCGATTATTCTCCCCGCGGACTGCAACCTATCCCTTCTGTTAATTCGTTACATTCATGAGAAGAAATGCTTCCACTTCGGAGGCGTTGCATCAATTCTACATCTTCTCAGAGAAGACTTCCTGGTCATACATGCGAGGAAACTTGCTCGTCGAGTAATCTCGTCCTGCGCCACCTGTAAGATTTTTCGCTGCCAGGCAGCAGCACTACCTACAGCCCCGCTGCCAACCTTTCAAATCGACATGGCTCCGCCGTTCTTCTATACAGGATGCGACTTCGCGGGGCCCATCAAATACAAGAAAGACTCGGGAGAAAAGGGGAAAAGTTACATACTTCTCTCCACTTGCGCCGTCACCCGCGCCGTCAATCTGCACCTAACAGAAAACATGTCCACAGTGGAAGTACTCGGCGCACTTCAAAAGTTCGTCAACCGATATCCATCGGTCAACACCATCGTCTCCGGCAACGGACTCTCCTTTCAGCGAGCAGCAAAGGAGTTGAAGTTGATCTATGAGCACATCGTAAACGGAGAAATAAAGAGATGGCTCGGGGACTCCTTCATCAAACGGGAATTCATCACCCCGAACGCCCCGTGGTTCGGTGGGTTCTACGAGCGCCAAGTGCAGTCAATCAAGAGACCGCTGAGGAAAGCCCTAGGTACCGCAGTACCACACTTCCGCGATCTCGAAGCCATCCTGAGCAACATCGAGGCGATGATAAACAGGCGCCCACTTACAGCGGTCGCGACGGAATCCGACACCGCCGAGGCTCTGTCGCCAGCAGACCTGCTATACGGACACAAAGCGAAATGCTTCTTCCCCCAACACGCGGCCAAGCCGATCAGAACGATCGATGCGGATAAAGTCGTTTTCTCCAGGAGATGGAACTATCAACAAAAAATCCTCAACTCATTCTGGAGGAGATATCAAGGAGAATACCTTGGCTCACTTCGATCCGCTCACAGGCGAAAACCAATCGCGGCCAGGCCGCTGAAAGTTGGAGACATCTGCCTCCTGGAGGATTCGAACGCTAATCGCGACTACTGGCCCTTGTGTAGGGTGATGTCTCTGAAAAACGATTCGGAACCTGGAAAAGCACGATCATGCATAGAGTTCCTAAATTCCGGACATTTCGATTTCGGACAATCGGACAAAATCGGACGGAAATTCCGGACATGAATCGGACATGAATCGGACAAAATCGGACATTAATCGGACATTAATCGGACAAAACCGGACATGGATCGAATATTCGAGTTCGGCTTGCCCCATCATAGTTGACAAGACCCTGAGTGTCATCCGCAGAGAAAAAAGAGTTTATTCGTCAAAGAGTATGTCCGAGTTGAATTGGATTGAAAGATATCTCTTGAGATTTATCAGAGACAGTCGATGACGCCTGTCGCTCAGAACATTTTTGTATAACGAGAAGGATCGTTCAACCTCGGCATTGGACAAAATTGCATACTTGAACAACTCGGCTTCCAGTTCCCGAATCCTCTCGAGGTGGTTGAAATCGGGATTCTTTCCGAAAATGGCTCTCAGCCGAGAGGCATAAGGTTCCTCGAGACTCCTCTGGATGGAAAATATTATATTAAGCTGCGTTTCCATCGTGATCGAGTGAGATTCCAGAAGCTCGATCGCTCGAGGTATTTCCGAGAAACGAGAAATCGCATCCAACTGAGTCTCCAAATCAGGGTCGTCGACAAGGGATTTCAGAGCCATGCTGTCCGCGGCTCTCGCTTCAATCTTTGACACAAATAGCTTCACTCTGTCGAAATTCCGCTGATGGTGGAACGCAGTGTTGAGGAAAGTGCCCCATCTCGTTATAACTGGCTTGGGAGGTAGCGGTTCATCCTCGAGTATTTCCTGGTAGAGATCTGTCCTTGCCTTCGAGTAGTTCAGAACACTCTTCATGCTCGAGACGAGAGAATTCACTTTTGGGAACTTCTCTCGGATGAATTCACAGAGCAAATGTAAGCCATGAGCGAAACAAGTGATGTGTACGAAATTCTTGTAGAAAATCTT